AGGTTGATCAAATCAGGGTATGGTCTCTCTGGCTTGGGCAGGGCATGTGATAACATCATGCAAGGAGTAATTTCCATTGTGCTGGAGGAGACAGGAAGAATCCACAGTGAGGAAGTTGCTAAAAAGGGTTTTTCCCCAGCTTTCCTAGCTCATGGCATTTTGCAGAGACTGCTCAAATTCTTCTCTGCAGATTTCATATTTTTTTAATCTAACAGTTTTAAAGTGTCAAAACATAATGAAAATCATCCTCTGAACTACAGAATGCAAAAATTCTTTTTCCCCACACCTATTTTTAATTCCCAAACCCACTTTTATAAGAATAGGATGTTTGTTTCTAACAATTAACCTGCTAGACAGAAGATGTCATGTCGTTGTAGAAAGAAATTGGGTTAGTCTGACATGATTTGCTTTTGGTAAATTCATGTTGGCTTTTTTCAAGGACCTTCATGTCTTTTGTATGCTGCTTCAAGAGTTTAAAATGGGAAAGCTTTACGTCTCAGGCATGTATGTGACTAGGCAGAGATTTAGGGTTTTTTTAATGTTGTTCAGTTTAAACACACATAATTTTGCCTAAATTTTATCATAGTCACCTCTGTGCTATTTCAAATTGTGTGTTTTATATCTAATCCTTTTGTCTGGGTATTCTGTTCAGTTATGTCTAGTTAGTGGGGTAGCTCTTTTCGTAATCAAGTACTGTCTCTGTAAATCTATAAGCTGCATTTCCCATTTTCCCCTCAGTAGTAAATTTGGATGCACAGGCACAGCTGTAGTTTGCTCCAGTATTCTGTCTGCTCTGAACAATCAAGCTACAGAATATTTTACCAATCCCTATCAACCTCACTAATATGCACCACAAAAAAACTGAGCTGTAGGAATGACAAATTCAACAGGTTTTAAAAAAACTGTTCCTAATTACTATAGGCATTTTTATTATTTGTTTCTATTATTGGAAATCCTTGTAATCCTAAACGTATGTGCAAAATCCTATGTGACAGAGTAATGCTTTTTAAAATTTATTCTCTCAAAGATACAGTTATAAGAAGTGTATGGTCACACTGAAAACCTCTGAAGGAGCTGTGAAGTTATTCTTTTTTCAGGAGGCCTTCACAAGAGTGACTTGTGAATCACTTCTTAGCAAGCTAAACTAAATGAAATATGGAAAGAATACACAAGAATCTGCTCATATTTTTTTTCCCCACACTAACTAGATTATAATATATAATATTGCTTCTGAAGTTAATATAATAAAAATTACACACAATGTATTTTAAAATGCTCTGTAGTAGACAATAATTTTGTCTAATGAAACTGGATAAAATTATTTAACTCTGGAAAAAACAGACAAAATATCATTACTCTTCTGTCAGTGATGCTTTTATCTAATACACATTATGTTGGTTGCATTGCAACAGCTTGCTTCATCCTAGTTTCAGTGAATGACACATTGACTGATAAATTGGTCACCTAAACTTGCTTATGTTCTTGTTCAATTCTGATACTAGGACAGAAGTTTCAAATGTCAATCAAAAACTTCTCTTAAACATGAGAGAAGATGTGGGTGGTTATTATAAACAAGATTTTTGTATGAAGTGTTAGATAATTGCACACTGTATTCACAATCTGCTGAAATAAGTATTGAGATAATTGGACTGATCAGCTATAGGGTCTCATTGCTCATGTCTTGAATTTTTTCATTATATTTCTTCCATATTAAAAAAAATTTGATTAAAACAGCAAGAAACAGTAGGAGTAATGTATGAGAATCATTTCATGCACTTATGTAAGTAGTTTCTAAGCAGAAAACGAGTTATGGCTGTATATGCAGTAGATGGATTTCTACAGCAATCTTAATCTATAGTTAAAACAAGACAGTTTGAGGAAATCAATCTTGCCACACTATCCCTTGTCTTTGAGCAAAGGTATTTCTAGGTTGTAACAGAACACACCAAAACAACACATGTATTCAGAGATGTTTTCAAACTAAGGAATTTAGTTCATATTTCCTGTGTAGCTATTTTGATTGCCTGGTAAATTTAATTTTACATATGATATTAACATGGGATAGAAAATTTACACATTTGAGGTCGCAAATCAGAAAAATTACCTGGAGCAGGTAGTTTGATAAGGTTCAGCATTAAGATGTTACTGGGGAGGAGGAAGAAGATTTAACTCTATTTCTTGTTATATATAAGGAACTTGGAGATATTTTAACTTTTTCCCTTAATATCATTTTAAAAAAACCTATATATAACTCATGAACTGGAAGTAGAGAAAAGAAGGGAAGCGGTAACCTTATGAAAAGTGAATGCAATTAAATTTCAAAGCTGATGCACTAAAAATTATTTAATTCTTCCATCGGGAAGAAAATAATATCTATCTGCAGTTAACTGGGCCAAAAAACTTCTAAAGTGTTGATTTGTTCTGTTTGTCAATCAATTTTTAAATTCATATTTTCACAAAAACAATCTGAACAGTTATTTAGTATATATCAGAAGCCATTTTAATAAAATAATTATCAAGTAATTTTTTTTTTTTTTTAATTGCAAGACTCTTTTCAGGAAAGGGACACTCAAAGTCTGACTGTGTTTTGCTTGATAGTCCTCTATTTGAAGAATCAACCTCCTACTGGACCAGGCAATGTAAGATGGAAACCTGAGGAAACTTTTATTGATTTTGTGGATATTTTGTATTTCTCTAGTTTCATATAATTCCATATAATGCTTTGATGCAAACTCAATCTTGCAAACTCGAAATTTAAGATTTTCCTTGATGAGGAAGGGAATTCATGAACCTTTCAAATCAGTCTTTCACATTTATGTTGTTGGAAGTTCTATGTGTAGACTTTCATATTTCTTTGGATATCCTATGTTATAAAGATGAGTGAAATACATTTGTATTCAAGGTTCCATATTTGATGAAAAAAAAATTAACTTAGTTGACATTAGCTACTGTTCAAGCAGAGAAAGAAAAATTTTGTTTAGAGACAGCTATAGGTTTTACATTACCTACATTAGCACTTAACCTCTCATGGTAAATTCATTCCTAATTGTCACAAAGACTTCAGTAAGTCTTAATGAGTTTATGATTCTTTCTCCTAACTTTTTCATCTACCTGCATACATTAAAAAAAAAAAATTGTTAAATTATTTTTTCTAAGCAAATCAACTTTAGCCTTTTTTTAAAATTAGAATACCGTGTTTTTATCCTGATTTGAAGTATTTTGAAATGTCTGTTTGTACCTGTAATATTCCTGTAATTAAGCAATGAGAGTTCTGCTACTCCCATTATATTTCTTGTGTGAAGCAAATGGGACTAATTTTTTATAGCTTTTTTTTTCATTTCACTATATTTGACTGCAAAAAACCCAAAAAGACATAAAAAGACAGTGCAATTTACCATTTTATGCTTATCTTGTTTAGTGAGAAACATGTAAGTACTACTAAGTAGTTATTTTACATCAATAATATTTTATAAAATATCTACCATTTTATTAATAAAAAGTAATAATTTACATTAGTTATTGCATTTTTCTATGGTAGTGTTACTCTTTTTTTTTTCTGCTGATATGAAGTGTTTCTTGAACTAACACACATCTCTTCAAATGTCTCTTTTCCAAAGAAGCCTTGAGTTGTCTTCACAAAAGAGTTGATAGGTATTTTGGATTTCTGCTTGCTTGTCAATGCCAGAGACATTGACAAATACAAGTCATTACCTACTGCCGAATCCCTACTTCGGAAAAAAAAATAGATGTTAGCATTTCCATAAAACCGTTACTTCAGAGCAGTTTCAGCTTTAGGGTAAGAAATTAATGCGATTTAAAGAAAGTTCACTGATAACACAGTTATAACAGTATATTATAACAGTTATAACAAAAGTGCTATAAAACATAGTGAAAAACTGTCTTAATTTAATACTCCAAATTCTGACTTTAGAGAACCTATGACACCAACTGTTCCTGGTGGCCACCTGTCTGGAAAACCCCATTTTATGTAGGAATTGTTTTGACAGCAGCCAGGCATGAAGATGAAAAATTAGCAGCTGCTGATTCAGTTTCACAGAATCAGAGAATAACACAATCGACCATGTTGGAAAAGACGAGATCATCAAGTTCAACACCTCATCCAACATCACCATGGTTACTAGACCATGGCACTAAGTGCCACATCCACTTGGCATCTTCCAGGAGAGGATCTAAGGCTCCCTGAGCATATTCAGTAAGTAATGACACCTTAACAGCTATAAACTGTGACGTCCAGAAGCTGGTTATCAATGATCAGACTGCAATCTTAATTTGAATTTATTAGAATTTATTAATGACTCTAATAAAATGCTTTAGAGGAAAATGTAAATTCCAGCCAGCTTTGTAGTGAAAAATCCAGCCTGTGCAGCACTTGAACTTAAGATGAGAAAGGGATTTAGTTCAATTAACTGTTGAAATTTGATGTATAATGCTACAGAGTAGCAAATGAAAAATACACAGTTTTCTTTTCAAATATGGAAATTTTGAATTGTTTAAAAATGTTGAAAGTCACCCAAATGGGCTTGGAGTGAAGGTGTGAAGCAATGCTTCAATGGAGAATAAACTTAAATAATAATTTTGGATTATTACATAGAACACAGGTTTGAGCATTGTGAAGGAGATCAGCTCTTCTTATTCATCTTCCAGTGGTTTTTGTATTATCTGCTAATTTTTATCAGCATACCTTTTTTATAATAAGCTACAAAAGATGATACAGAACTTATTATTTGGTACTTTATTTTTTATTATGATATATATTATGTGGAATTAATGCATTTATAATATTTTTACATGTTAGCTTTCTAGATACTTAAAAAAATCAAAATGGTGTATGTTGGAACAGTCTGGAAAAGTGGGTGACACCAAGGTGTGGGGTCAAGCTAACATTGAAAAAGGTAATTCAGCCAAGAAGAAGAGCTTTAGAACAACTTAAAAAAAAATAATTTCTTCACTTTGTGAGAAATTTCATGTTGTGAGTGTGTATGGGACATCAGTGTCCAGCCATCAGCAGCAGTGGAGACTGCCAGGAGGAGAAGGAGGAGGAGGAGGAGGAGGAGGAGGAGGAAGAGGAGGAGGAAGAGGAAGAGGAAGAGGAAGAGGAAGAGGAAGAGGAAGAGGAAGAGGAAGAGGAAGAGGAAGAGGAAGAGGAAGAGGAAGAGGAAGAGGAAAAGGAAGAGGAAGAGGAGGAGGAGGAGGAAGATGAAGACGAGGAAGAGGAAGACGAAGAAGAGGAAGACGAAGAAGACGAAGAAGACGAAGAAGAAGACGAAGAAGAAGACGAAGAAGAAGACAAAGACGAAGAAGACGAAGAAGACGAAGAAGACGAAGACGAAGAAGAAGAAGACGAAGAAGAAGACAAAGAAGACGAAGAAGACGAAGACGAAGAAGACGAAGAAGAAGAAGAAGAAGAGAAGTCCATGGCTGGAGCAGATATTCCCCAACAATCCTTGGAGGACACTACCAGAGCAGTGAAAACTGTGAGGAGGAAGAAGTGAGGAGAAAGCAGCAGCAAACCCCAACTATTATCGTCCAAGTGCAAAACCTATTTGAGAGGATGATAAAGGAGTCTAGACTGAAGAGGTGAACTTAAGCCTAGTAAAAGGGGGAGGAAGAATGCTGTTCAAATTAGATTTTTTTGTTTGTTTCCCACTACCTGAACTAGTAATTATGTTTTTGTTTATTAGGCATATATTTTCCCAAAACTGAGTTGTGCTACCCATAACACCTATTGTCAACCGATCTTTTTGTTTACTCAACCCATAAGTTCTTTTCTTCTTGGTCTATATTCTCCCCATCCCATCCTGCAGAAGGAGTGGAGAGAAACAGTGGCTGGATGGGAGTTTGGATGTTAGTCAAGGCTTACTCACCACAGAAGGCCAAAAGTTGTGTTCCTAAACCTGTAACATAACAAACAGCATTATTAGTTTGACAGTAGGTCTCAAACAGTGAAATGATAACCGATAGTAAGACAATATAGTAGAGTGTTTTTGTCTGTGGGGTGTGTGGGTGTGCACAGGCATCCAATTGGAGAACAAAAATTCAGGTTCATCCAGACCATTACGCATACTTAGAAATGTAATTTTTATTGCCAGTCTAAGTATGTCAGCACAGTATCGGGATGTTTGTTACACTTCTGCCACACTATTTATATACTGTTTATGTTTCTAACAGTTTTATTTTAATACTAATAAAATATATTTTAAAAAAAGATGAACTATTTTAATATGCAAAAGGTGAACACCAAAAATGGTTAACCATGGTTAACAACCTAGGAAAAAATCTATAGAACTAGTAATCCCAGTTCTCCAGTATAGTGGTATGGCTTTTGGAATGCTCTTTCACCAACAAAAAACCAAAATTCTTTTTGCAAATAAAAGTATATAAATTCCATCTCTCTGTGATTAAATTGTCATTAGAGTAATACAGAATCTGCACTTTCTAAACAAGTCAGCAATTCACTGACCTCAAAATTCAAATGGAAATTCTAACTTGCTTGGTAAAACACATTATTTGTAGCATCTAATTCTCGTTGTAGTGGTTCATTTCAATGTTCCTTCAGTCCTATGCTGTTAGATGAAAATCCAAAAACTAGATGTGCTCTAACTTATTTTAAAAGATTTGATGCTGAATGAAGAGCAGGGGTTTTTTTCTGAACATGATGTGTTATTTGAAATGAAATTTCCTTTTCCTGCCATCTGCGGAATTGCATACTGCATAGCGTGTTTAACCTGGATAGTATGTGTAAAAAATTATATTGAAAATGAAATTGCAAACATAGTAGAAACTAAAGGATTTTCAACAAGAAGTAGAGCTGTGCATCTACATAGGCAAAAAATAATTTTAGCATATGCCAAAAAAGAGCAAATAAAAGTAAACCAGTGTTGCAGTTCAATTGATCACCAGCAGGCTTTATTAAGCAGAGGAATGGTGGATGAATTTCTGATGACACTAACTAGATTGTGCTCTGACCTGGAATATACAGTACCTGAAATTTCATGGCGCTGTCCCAGACTATTAGTAATGGCAGCTTGAATGCAGCAAACTCAGCATGTAGCAAATGATAGATAAGCTAAAATCTGGGCACCTGTCCATAGTTGAATTGTAAATACAATCCTCCTTCTGCCTTTGGGAAAGTAGCGTCTGTCTTACACTTTTTAGCATACAATTAAGAGATGACTTCTGATTAATATCTCACATGGTCTACTGCGTTCCATCTCTTTGTTGATAAATTAATATTATAATCACAGAATTTATAATATACTATGAGTAAATATTAAGAATGTTTACTATGAATATAGTTTATTTTGAAACATTTGAAAATGCCATTTACAATTCACATTGATTTGGCAATCATGTTCTTTTACTTCAGAAGTATAATTTTAAGTTTTTCTTTTAATGAGATTTCTCATAATATTTATTTTAATAGTTGAAATAATAAGTAGTAAATTGAAGGTCATATTCTTAACTTCAATGGAATTTAGTTCATTCTGAGGTTTGCTTTCTTTGGTGCTTGCTTGTTGTTTGTGGGTTTATTTTCTCCTGAGATAAAAGAATCCATCTCTGAATTTGCAAATAGAAATGTTTGTCTTAATTTGCATGTATTTTTTTTTTCCTCACTGTATCAAATTTGACTTTTATATTCTTTTTTTCACTTTTGGCTTCTTTCTCTGATTGCGTAATGTTAACACTGGAGGAATGGGGGGGGGGAATAAAAAGCCAATAAAGTTCCGTTCCAGCTTAGATTTAAATTTTTCTTTTATGATTGCAGTATACTGAAGTCACGTAGAATTTAACCAATTCCACATTTTCTTTTATGCCTTTTTCCAATTTCACAATATTGTGCATAAGACACTGCTAAGGTAGTACTAGCATTTGTTTCATTGATTAGAATTTGACAAGATCAAATTTTTCATCTGCATACAGCATATGCCAGCAGTATGATAACCTTGAAATTCAGACAATTGTTTTATCTGTTTGCAGAGTCCAAATTTAATTCAGTTACAGTAAAGCTGAAACATCCTCTTCCTTTTCTGGATGCAGATCGAATTTAGACAAGATTCACCAAATCTGTGCTTCTTTGAGTGGGTCTTTTTATTTCAGTAACAGTTCCGGCATGGAAATCAATTCCAGTGTAATAGAGATTTTCAACAACAACCCTTGCTGAATGTAAAACCACATTCTTCACTTCTAATTAAATTTTGCAGTATTTTGTCCAAGTGATAAAGGTAACATTTAAATAAGATGATATGTACCACTGACACACTGTTCAAAGTTCACACACCACAATACAACTCTTGAGAAGAAAGAAGGAATGATAGGGGTCAGTAGCAACAGAGCTAAACCAAAGCTTACGTTCTTGACAATCTCAGGTAAAGCCATTCTATGAATACTCCAAGTTAAAGTTTCTACTAATATGTAGTTAGAATGTTTTCATTTTTAAGATCTCTAAAATACCATTGACAGGGAAAAAAAATCCCTTGTATTCAGTGAGGTGAAAAATCCTGATGAGTTCCTACAAAGCTGTGGAACAACCAAGGACCCTCACATCAGCCAAAAAGGCATTTTCAGCTAGAGAGAGATCCATTTTAAAGCAGTGAAGATGAGAAAAGCTTCATATGCTGAAGAAAAGGAACTAATTATTCTACTTGACTGCAGAAGAAATTAAACATTAAAGACAAAGCTACAGTATATAGTCTTGGTATAACAGCAAGGCAGATAAATATATTTGCTCATGTAGAGGAATAAAAGCAGTTGAAGGTAATTGCTGTAGAAGTAAGAAAAAAACCTAACCGAGAAGGTAATACAATTGTAAACTGGAGTGATTTAGCCATACTCTTTTTCCAGGTGTTTAAAGTTCATATACTGAACCGCATGGAAATATTTCCATTTGTATAGGCTAAATTCTATTTTTACATTTATTTTAAAGCAGACAGCACCTTTACTGTGATTGTCAGCAACCTACTTTCTAGGTAGCATATAATTACCCGGGGATAGTTAAACAAAAGATTGACTGATCAGACAAAGACAGAGAAAGCAAGAATTCTGAAGAAAAAGATTACAGTATTGGGATCCCAAGTGAGAACTGCAAGCAAAATGAAATGACCTATCAGCTATGCAGAATCATCCGGTATCTGTTTTTTGTGTGTTCATCAGAGAAAATTGTACACCTTCAGAGGTTTGTGTGAAATATTGTATCCAAATCTACATAAAAACCTGTCCTGTGTTTAACAGCATGTCAGATACGATGATTGCAGTAGTTCATTTGTCATTGTTATTAAAAAAATCTTTAAGGGAAATTTCTTAGTGTAAATCATATGGGAAATTCTCTCACTCCCTCATAGCCAGCATGTTCCATGTGTGCATTTGTCCCTGTGCAGACTCCTGAGCCATGCACGGGATATACCTTAGAGGGTGCTAAGTGGCTTAGCCTAGGGCCAGGACCACTCTAACAATTGATCAGAGCAAACATGGAGCTCCAATGGACAGGAACAATCCTGCCAATTGCCTGGCAATACTTTATTTGCTACAACAGATGCAATCTGCACACCCTAATGTAGCTGTGATTCTTTCTGAAACATCAGTATTATGGTAAATGATGCTACTCTTTGGCCTAGGATCCAACGAACAAAATGTCATTTTCTTTTCTTTAAGACGTTCTGTAGTTTAATTGCATTGAATAAAGGAATTTTGATGCTACAGTTTATTTCCATACTTTTAAAAAAATTATTATTTCTTTTTGTTTAACCAGATTTTCTTCTTAAAGATAATAAAGTTTATTAATGATTGAAATTCAAACCAAATAAATATTATCCAATGATTGTACATCACTACGTCAAATATGTAAATATTTATCCATTTTTTAAAAAAGTAGACTTAAAAATCAAGAGGTACCAGTTTGTATTTTAACTCTTTAACTCTTTTTTATTTATGAAGGATTTACATACACATGCTCTCTTAGTGAAACCTTTATCTTCTCTCTGTTCCAGTAATTGCTAATATTGTTCTAGTACAATTGTTTCAAACACCACATCAATTTATAAATCTGCTCCCAACTTTGAAACAAACAAATATTCCATTTTATTTCAGGCTGCTACTCCTCTTCTGCAAAAATGCTCAGTATGGTTGCTGTGAATAACTCTTCTGAACTAATCTTAAATTGATTTTCTCTGTCCTGTTTGCTACACTCTCATGACATTTGGTAGTGCATATCCCAACCACCATCATCATCCCCAGGCCACCAATCTATGAATCCTTGTTAGCCCTCACCCTTGATTACTGGCACCTACGCAGTTCAGCTGCCCTTAAGCTTATCAGAAACACTGTCTGTTCCCAGAACTTCTGCTTTTGCTGATACCTTGCTGGTGATTCTTCAAGTGATCAAAACCACTCATGACTTGGTACTTGTAAATTCTTGAAAAAATCCCCCAAATCACTGCACTTCTCACTACCTTTCCTTCTGGCCATGACATCATCTTGGGTTGCACATTTTCATCAC